CGTCCATCTTCGAAGACAAACATGCATTCATTTTTATGGATGATTTTAATATTTCTTGTCGCGGTAAGAATATGCATACTATTGAACGACAACTACAGTTGTGTTTGAACAAAATGAATAAATGGTGTCTTGAAAACAGCTTTAAATTTTCTAAATAAAAATCAAATTGCATACATTTCTGTAGAAAATATAAGCCCCATAAGGACCCAGAACTATCTTTAAATGGCACTCCCATCAAAGTTGTAAAGGAGGCCAAGTTCTTGGGTCCGATTTTTGACTCCCATTTAACCATTCTGCCGCATATCAAATCCCTAAAAGCTAAATGCCTGAAGGCACTTCACTTGTTGAAAGTGGTTTCAAATTCTATGTGGGGAGGGGATCAAGCTACCCTTCTACACCTATATCGATCATTGGTCCGTTCCAAACTTGATTATGGCTCCATCGTATATGATGGAGCCTGCAAAAGCAACCTAAAACGTTTAGATTCTGTCCATCACCAAGGTCTGAGACTTTGTCTTGGATCCTTCAGAACTTCTCCTTTTGACAGTCTCTACGTCGAGGCAGATGACCCTTCTCTTACCCAACGCCGTATAAAATTATCTTTACAATATATTACCAAACTATATTCTAACGAGTCTAATCCTGCATATCACTGTATCTTTAATCCTCTTTATGAGGATTTGTACAACAAGAAATCTCCCTTGTTCCGCCTCAGGATTAAACAATTCATTACTGCTGCCGGCATTGAGCTCGAAAATATATCTCCTTCCCGTCTTCTTTCTTCTCCTCCTTGGCAATTGGTTTGGCCCCAAGTCGACCTAACACTCACTAAATTTAAAAAATCAGAAACTAATGACTTACAATATAAACAAGAATATAATCAATTAAAAAGCAAATATAATACATATAAATGCTTATTTACAGATGGGTCCAAGGATGGTGGCGCGGTGGCTTGTGCCATGGTCATTGGATCCAAAACAATATCTTCTCGACTACCGGATAATAGCTCTATTTTCACAGCAGAAGCTAACACCATATTAACAGCTCTTAAATATATTAATAAACATCGTAAATATAAACAATTCATAATCTTTTCCGATTCTCTTTCTTGCCTTCAGGCTATTAAAAATATCCCTTGTAAACATCCACTTTAAATAGAAATTATTGAATTATATCATGATCTTGCTACTGGCCAATGCGACATCGTCCTCTGTTGGTTACCCAGCCATGTTGGCATTTCTGGGAACACAATAGCTGATCTTAATGCTAAGGCAGCACTCAACAAATCTGTGACACCACTGCTTATCCTATACTCTGATTACAAATCTAGCATTAGAACATACATCCGTGATCTGATGCAGAAGAAGTGGGACACCCAAGTAGGTATCAATAAATTGCATGAAATAAAACCCTATATTGGTTACACCTACTTGGGTTGTCAGTCCAGATTTGAAGAGGTCATCATACGACGATGTCGTATTGGCAACACAAGATATACACATGAGTACCTATTGAGGGGTGAGGATCCTCCGTTTTGCATCACTTGTGATGAAAGAATCACGGTCAAGCATGTCCTGCTTGACTGTGTTAAATATTCCATCACAAGGGATATCTATTTCAAATCACGAACTATGAAGGATCTTTTTAATAATGTCAGTTCTCATTTAATTATTGTATTTTTCAAAGAATTAGATTTGTTAAATGATTTGTAAATAGATAAATGGTATTTTAAACATGGTAGTATAAATTAGCAACTGCGATTGTTAGTGGCTGTATCCTCGAAGGGGATAAAGTATCGTAAAATTATTGTCCTCCTGAGAGGGTACGTAAGTCCCAAAACTTTCAACGTTAAATTTTTGCTTACCCGATTTTTAAACACAGTATATTTGTTTCTTTAAAATTCCGTTAAACTTTCCTACAATCGCCAGCGGCTGAAGGGATGGTGTAAATCCAGCTAGGGTCCATGCAGGTAGCAAAGGTACTGTAAGTCCCCATGGTCCCTAGTATGGTGATCTACCTTCAGTTGTTGGCGATCTATAGCCTATATTTATATTGTGTTGTCCCCTATAGTTAAAACGTTTTAGATTTAATTACTAGTTTTACATGTATATCTGTGATATTCTAGATGTTTTACTGTCCTTCGTCGGCAGATTTTTATAAAATATATATTCCATTTCAATGCCAAATGTTCTCGTCACGATATGGCTGAAATATTGCGATGTGACGTGAAATATTAACTCACTCACTCACTCAGTTGTTGGCAACCTATAGCCCATTTTTATATTGTAGTGTTCTATTTAATAATAGCATTTTATGATAGCAAGCTAGTTTTTACTTTAATATCTCTGATATATTAGTAGTTTTACTGTTCTTCGACAACAGACGTTTAATTTCTAATTGTTTTGATTTATAATATAACAATAAATTCTTCCCGTCACGATATGGCTGAAATATTGCCGATGTGACGATAAATGTTAACTCACTCACTCACTCTCTCTTCTCCTCTTTTAAGGCTCCAAGTCGACCTTACATTGCCCTCAATTCAAAAGTCAGAAACTAAGATATTTTTATGGATTAAACTTCTTTTTAACGGTTTCAGGGACCTGGAATGGTCTCGAAGTCGTGAGAATTTAGTAAAGAAATAATCCATAAAATAATCTTGGACATCAATCTACAACTTCTAAATGCCACTGAAAGACATCATAAGGAATTACAGTGTAGAATTTAGTAAAGAAATAATTCTAATCACAAACCTAATTTACAGATGGGTCAAAGGATGGTGGCGCGGTTGCTTGTGCCACTGTCATTGGATCCAGAACAATATTTTCTAGACAACACCTCAATTTTCGCAGCAGACCCTTATACCATATTAACAGCTCTTAAATGTATAAATAAACACTGTCAATATATACAGTTCATAATCTATCTTTTTTTCCTTCAGGCCATTAACAATTGTCTTCTCAAAATCCACTCTTAATTGAAATAATTCAATCATTTAATGATCTTGCTACTGGCCAATGCGACATCGTCTTAGAAGTTACATACGGAGGAAGTAGGACACCCAAGTAGGTATCAATAAATTGTATGAAATTAAACCAACAATTGGCTTACACCTACTTGGGTTGTCTGTACAGATTTGAAGAGGTTATATTAAGACGATGTCGTATTGGCCATTTTAGTGGTGGTGGTTGAATTGGGTTTAACGTCGTGCTTGAGAATATTTCGCTCATATGACGATGCGTGTGTATGTGTATGTGCGGATGCTTGTACTAGCCCAGACTGAAGCTGGTTTTATAGTGCTAGCCCACTGAGATACAATGCCGCAGTGAAGCATGAATACCCCACTCAGACACATTATACTGACTCCGAGCCGACCAGTCCTTGTTGTACCCATTAATGCCGAGCGCCAGGCAGGGACCAACAAGTACCATATTTTAACGTCTTGTGGTATGACGCGTTCGGGGATCGAACCCGCGACCTTCCGCTCTCCGGGCTGACGCTCTAACCACTACACCACGGAGGCGGTCATTGACCATTCTAGATATACACATATACACAACAGGATCCTCCATTCTGTATTCCTTGTGATAAAGGAATCCTTTCAAGCATGTTCTTCTTGAATGTATTGATATTTCCATCACAAGGGATCGATTTTTTCCTCGTTTAATTATAGAGTTTGTAAAAGAAATTGAATTATTTGATAAATTTTGAAATGTATTGTAATTAGACGGCGATTTTAAGTTGGTAAAATAATTAACTAATTATAACTATGATTATTAGTGGCTATACCTTCAAAGGGGGTTGAAGTAGCGTAAAATAATTGTCCCCTGAGAGTCCCATTTCATTCAAAGTAGTGTTCATTCTCTGAATTTTAATAGTAGCACATTTGTTCTTTTGAAGTAGTTAGTTAGCTAGTTTGCCAAACAATTGCCAACACCTAAAGGTATGATGTAAATCCAGCTAGGGTGCATGCACGTAGAAAAGTACCGTAAGTCCCCATGGACATTAGCATGGTGATCTACCTTCAGTTGTTGGCGATCCATAGCCCGTTTATTACCTTATCTGTGATACTCTAGTATATTTACTGTCCATCGTCAACGGGATTTTAAATTTATTGATCTTAAATATGATAATTGATAGTTCTCGTCACGATATGGCTGAAATATTGCCGATGTGACAATAATATTAACTCATTCACTCATTTCAGAATAGACGTATTATTTCCCTCTATATGATAGTTATCACACAGGTGTTCAGCAGCGTCAGATACACCAGGTGAAGTCAACCTGACTGATATTGCCCTACACCTACAACAGAAAATACATGTCATAGAAACAGTAAGACGTATTGTGTCTAACTTCTGAAATCAACTGACAGACTTCTATAAATAATACTGGGCGACATTCAGCTGTGTCAATGACAAATGAGACAACACTGATTTAATACAGATACCCTTGTAAGCACGACAATACCTCGTGTATATTAATATTGTATTGTAGATCGATGGCCTCTATTACTGAACCGCTTTGTCTTTCTCGGAGACTTGATTGTTTGGTTTGTCTGTTTTTCAGCATTGTTCTACACACAAATGTACTGCGACAGTGTCTAAATGGTCCCAGAACAAAGGTAAATGTATTGCAGAGAGACAAAAGGTTCAAATAACGAATTCGTTGTGATCTATTATTACATAGTATGAACAAGTGAGGCATCGATTGTTCCTACACAGGCTGTGTCCCCAGGCCTTTGTAAATCTCTCCCATGCGTAACGTTATAAAACAAAGATAACAACCTCATTGTGCCCTTCAGACGTATATACAGAAGTCATGTCCCAGGACAATGGTCACACATCTCGAGGGTATTTATTCACAGCCAGTGTTTCGTTGGTTTAGTAATATCTCTTGAAACCTTTAACTCAAACAGGATAAAACAATTACGTTGTGGAACCATGGTCACCTTCAGAAGTTGCCGTTGCTCCATCAATCGCTTGTCTGGGTATTTCCTCAATGCAGAGTGATACAGATCATTTCGACTGCTTATTCGTTACTGTCTGGGTGTAGTCTCACGTCTGGAATTGACTTACATCACATTTCTTGAGGCAACCAACGCGTTGATTCGTTCAAGGATGTGGTGGGTTTATCTGATGCTGACACTGAGTGTATGTAACGGGGCATCCATTCACGATGCGAGACGTTTACAAAGTTCCCTGTTTTCAAACTACACATCCGAGCTCAGACCACTGACCAACCAGAGTGAAACAGTTAAGGTGTCTGCCACTGTTTACCTGTTAGATATAACTGACTTTGACGATGTGAAACAACAGTTTATCTGTAATGCTATATTCTACGTCAAATGGAAGGATGAGTTCTTGGTCTGGAATCCTGAGGACTTTGGTGGCATCAAATATTTCACGTTCAACAATGGCTATAAGGCATGGTTTCCGAGCATAACGGTGACCAACACACTGGAAAAGCGAGACGTTTTCAAGAAAGATACTCAGCGCATGACAGTTTTCAGTAACGGGACCGTGCTGTGGTTTCCGTCCGCCATCTTGAAGACGTCTTGTCCACTCAATATCCACATGTTCCCCTTTGACGTCCAGGAATGTTCCATATACCTTATGGCCGTGCATTACACGGTCGAAGAAGTGGAATTTGTGACTGGAAGTGATAAAGTCTACGTTGATCGATTTCAAAGAAGTGACCAGTGGGATTTACTGGACACCAGTTTATCATCAATCAGGACTGGTGATGTGGACAAGTGGCGTATTACCCTCAGATTTCAGCGTCGACCGTTGTTCTACGTCCTCAACGTCCTCGTCCCCATGGTCATTCTGTCCATTCTCAACGTTGCCGTTTTTGCTGTCCCTGTTGAATCTGGTGAAAAACTCTCCTTTGCCGTCACAGTGCTTTTGTCACTGGTCGTCTTCATGACGTTTGCAAGTGAACGCATCCCGAAGACGTCGACAGGGATATCCATGTTGACGGTGTATCTAACGACGGTGACAGCTTCTAGTGCCGTCAACGTCATAATGACCATTGTTGTTCTCATCCTTCACAACAAACCGAATACGGAAGAGATTCCAAGGTGTTTTCAGAAACTTGTTTCCTTAGTTCGTAAGGTATCTTGCAGGAGGATTTATGTCTTGGACGCCACGACCACAGAGAGGTCCATGGAATGGAAGGATGTTGCTGATGCACTGGAGTATTTCTTCCTGAGAGTGTTTCTGGTCATTGTGATTGTCTACACTTCCGGATTCTTCATCAAACTTTTTCGACGGTAAATATATCCAATGTAACTTAGGGTTACAGTTAAATAACTTAAATTTTCCAAATTTAATTATTATGCTGGTGCGATATAGGTTATCATAATGGTTGTTTGATAATGATCATTTGGAATTGGAACACAAGATGGGATAAGATGGGAAAGTTGCCACTTTTGGATCAGCAGCGCATACTACCGTGTTGATTTGTGTAACATTGGTTCACTCGATGAAGCAGACTGCTATAAGTCTCCCAACGGCGGTATCAGGAAGTTTGTCTCACTCCTTTTGGAGCGCTTGGATTAGTTCAGACAAAACTGTCAGCTGCCGGTGAAGTTGATGCACACGTTTTCGGCTTCGGGTCAATGTACCCTGTTGACAAAAATAATTACCCGCAGAATAAATCAACCGTCCTTGAAAGTATAAAAGTCAGGAATGACACCCTGTGCATGTTTGTTGTTCTACAGTGTACGGCACATGTAAACGAAAAGATGTGTTTCTGTGTTCCGTTTTTCAGATACCAACATTTTTTACAAAGGATGCTTGACACTCCTCCATTGCTACTAACACTTGTATTGGTGTTAATACTTCATGATACCTACTTAAGAGTGTATATTTTCTAAAGTAGAAAGTCAAACATGAAAGGAAAATTACTTGCTGGTCTGTATTGGGCAAGAAACATATGTGGATATATGATGGTATTAAAACATATGTGGATAGTTGATGGTATTAAAACATATGTGGATATTTGATGGTATTAAAACATATGTGGATATTTGGTGGTATTAACGGCAACAGTTTCCCATCAAGGTTCTGTATCGTATTCAGATACTTTTGATAAGGCCTCTGATGTATGTCTGTGAATATTTCTAATCGGTCAATCATCTTCAATACTATGCACACTTATGTATTTATGATTGTGATTTATGAATTACCTGAGTTTGATCACCTCCACTTTGTCATGCATTGCCTCAGTGTGCATGATCGTTTTCTGATTGACAAGCAATTACTATAATGCTTTACTATAAGCCAGATTCCCCATGGTCCCTAGTATGGTGATCTACCTTCAGTTGTTGGCAATCTATAGCCTGTTTTTACATGGTCTTGTCTTCTATTTAACATGTTTTAGATTTAATTACTAGTTTTAAATGGATATCTGGGATAAACTTGTAGTTTTACTGTTCTTCGTCAACAGGTTTTAATTTCTAATTTTATTGATATATGATATAATTATTCATTTTTCTCGTCAGATATGATATTCCTACAATCGACAGAGGCTGAAGGGATGGTGTAAATCCAGCTAGGGTCCATGCAGATAGCAAAGGCACTGTAAGTCCCCATGGTTCGTAGTATGGTGGTCTACCTTTAGTTGTTGGCGATCTTTTTTTATTGATTAAATTCTTGTTTATATTGTAATTCATTAGTTTCTGATTTTTGTTTAACGTTGCCAGTGTTAGGTCAACTTGTGGCCTCACTTATTTCCAAGGAGGAGAAGAAAAAAGACGAGAAGGAGATATATATTGTAGCTCAATGCCAGCAGCAGAAAGGAAAGGTTTGGCTCTTAGTCCCAGAGGCGGAACAAGAGAAGACTTCTTGTACAAATCCTGATAGAGGGGATTGAACGCATAGTCATATGCAGGATTTGTTTCGTTAGAATATAGTTTTGTTATATACTGTAAAGTTGATTTTATAGGGCGTTGATATATTAAGAAATGGCTCATCAGCCTCGACGTAGAGACTGTCAACAAGTGAAGATCTAAAGGACCCCAGACAAAGTCTTAGACCTTGGTGATGGAAAGAATCTATAAGTTTTAGGTTGCTTTGACAGGCTCCACCATATACGATGGAGCCATAATCTAGTTTCAAACGGATGACTGATTTGTATAAGTGTAGGTGGGTAGTATGATCCCCTCCCCACTTTGAATTAGAAACGACTTTCAACAAGTCAAGTGCCCTCAGGCACTTAATTATTAGGTATTTGAAATGCTGAGGTTAAGTTAAATGGGCGTCGAAAATCAGACCCGAAAACCTGGTCTCTTTGACAGCTTTGATGGGAGTGCCGTTTAAAAATAGTTCTGGGTCTTTACGAGGTTTATATTTACGGCAGAAATATATACAATTAGTTTTTGATGTTTTGATTTAAAGCCGTTTTCAATTGACCATTTATGAATTTTATTCAGACAAAGTTGGAACTGTCTCTATTGTATGCATATTTTTAGGAAGGAAATGTTTAGATCATCCACGAAAAGTGAAAAATTAACTGACTCATTTAAAACCTTAGAAAGGCTGTCTATATTAATACTAAATAATGTTACAGACAAAATACTGCCTTGTGGGACACACTGATCCTGACTAATGATCGGACTTGAAATTCCTTGTCTGTTGAAAATCCTTGAAAATGCCGTCTCGTAGAAAATTGAAACTACATGTTGTTAAGACACTGTGGCATTCTTAACAAAAGATTCTAATCTTACTATCAATAGGGGATCTAGTCAAATTGGCCGAAGGACAAAAGTGCCAAGTCAAATGGGCCGATGGAAAAAATGTCAAAAGGGACTTATTCTTAGTCATATGGACCGAGCAGAAAGGGGTAAACAAATGTCTTTCATTTTTTATTGATATATAGCAGTAAAACATAATATCATAACAATAACAAAATGGTAATTGCCAAGCACGTCTTTGCATTTAATTACAGTACATATAGTTCATAATATAAAGTTCTTAAGCACTAAAGTTTAGGTTCATTCCAGCATGTCTTTGCATTTGATGGCAGATTCATTGTTCATAATTTAAAGCACTAAGGTATCTGATCATTCCAGACCTGGTATATCCGGTTCAGGTACTACACTACTTTCAGTTTCTCACACGTTCATTCAAACACAGTTGGGGCATACACTCTTGAACACATCGTCAGAAACGCAGTTGGGCTCAGTTGTCCTTCTCTAAACAGCCGCCAAGCAGCGAGGATTTCCGACTGGTCAGCTGATGCAGACTTCACAAATCGGGTGAGCTTGCCATCATGGAGGAGCTGGGCGTGGAAAGACTGGCTTCTTTGTGAAGAGCGGGAATCAACTTGTACAGGCCCAATTGTTGATGTCCTGACATTCTTTCGGCGATGGCAACCTAAAATTTAAAAATATTTGTTACATATTATATATAGTTTGTTCGATTTGACATTTGAGTATTGATTTGATTCAATATTATATTATACACATATATATAATTTTATTTTAATCCTTTTCGATTTAATGACAGTTACACACACAACTTTATATGTAACTATATATACCTTCAACATTGTTGTTGGTGCGGACTGACTGGTTGAAGACTGACCAACTGATCACTGTGAAGATGGACGGATCCATCCACTGTCGATCCATGTAGTCACAGACCTCAACCAGCTTCTACGACAACGCCCTCATCTTCATCTGGCGGAAGGCCGGTCTGATGTGTACCCCTGGAAGGAAGGCCAAAGCGTCGTTCTCGCGATACGCTCTCTGCTTAATAATATGATTATGTGAATATGAAGAGAATATGAAGGAAAGATGACTATGAAAAGAATGTGACTATATGAACATGATGAATATATGAATAAATGAATGCCCCATCTACAAACCACTGCTGTGCTATAGATAACTGAGCTAATTGCCGGTCAGTAGCAAACAAGAGATGCATCTCTCCCTTCACCCTGACGTCAGCGCACACGAACCCTTCAGGCAGGAAGCTCTCGACAAGCTGCAATCCATAAAATACACATATAAATACAAATAAGATGTGAAGCTACAGAAAGGTTAGGCTATAGCCATCAATATAGTTAAAGAAGCTTTATCCATTGACAGTTTTACAAATACCATAACCTTTTCTGTTCTTTATGAAATAACAATTCTGTTATATACCAAGATGACATTTACACATCAAGTAAGCTTTAATTATGCATAATCAGGAGGAACCCGAATGTCAAAGATTCAGACCTTTTTCCAACAATCCAGATTGCTAATTGACAAAAAAATGAAAAAAACATTAATAAGATATTGGAATAAATCTTTTATGGTTTTTAGTTTATTGTATTGAATAACCACTTCTCCTTGCCGGATACTGATAATTACGGCTAAAATCTGTTTGTTTTGTTTGTAAAGCAACTGTTACTGCATTTTAAAATTTTTCTTTTTTTATTTTGACTGTAACTTTTCCGAAATCTTAGTTTACAAACTTTCATCCATTCACAATAAATAACGAATGTATAGGCCACATAACAATCAATTATTACTTTCACTTTTCAAAATAAGGTAGCTTGTTTTAGGACAGAAAAGCACCTGTTTTAAATATAGGCAATTATCCTAATTAAATTACATGGTAATTTCAATGATGTTTTCGTTTTTGAAATGTTAAATGCTTGCTCTACCAAATTATAAAGGTTATTTTTTGGAAAGAGTTTAGCATTTCATTTCAGACAAAGTTATTTGGTAAAAATACAGGGTGGTGCTTATTTTATGCACGGGTGTATATTTTGTGGTACTTAGTTTATTTAATTCATTAACTTAAATCAAATAATTAAATGTAATGATAGAAAAGATATGTAAAAAAATGACCTCAAATGGCCTAAGTTTCTCTCTACACCTGGTGGCGATACCAGACAGCTTCAACGTCGCCCACCATCTATGACATCTACGACCGCTTGGGGAAGATCGACGCCCTTGCGGAGCAAACCTCAACGATGTTGTTGGCTCGTATGGTGCAAACCACGACTATGCTAGTCGGCATCATGTCTAGGGTGGACAACGACAAACTCCCGGGAGAAAATAGAAAATGTCGAGGAGGAGCAAGAAACAACCCGTCTTGATATCCGGAAGGTGGGACCGGGCCTGGAAGCACAGCACACCGGCCCACATACCGGTCGACAGACAGGCCGACGAGAAGACAGAAACGGCCAAACCAGTATATAATTTATTGAGACTCTCTTTCGTGCCTTCAGGCTATTAACATCTTTCTTGGAAACATCCACTTTTAATTGAGATTATTGAACTATAATGATCTTGTAACTGGCCAATACGACATCGTCTTCTGTTGGTTACCCAGCCATGTTGGTATTTCTGGCAAAACAATGGCTAATTTTGCTGCAAAGGCAGCACTCAACAAATCTGTGACACCACTTCGTATTCCATATACCGATTGTAAAGCCGTTATTAGATCTTATATCCGTGATCTAATGCAAAAGAAGTGGGACACTCAAGTAGGTATAAATAAATTACATGATATAAAACCCTATATTGGTAACACCTACTTGGGTTGTCAGTCCAGATTTGAAAAAGTCATTTTAAGACGATGCCGCATTGGCCATTCTCGATACACACATGAATACCTGTTAAAAGGTGAGGATCCTCCGTTTTGCGCCCCGTGTGATGAGAGATAGTATTGTTAATTTTCATTTAATCATCAAAATTTTAAAAGAAATAGAATTATTAGATAAATGTTGAGGAATGGTTTGTAAATAGATGAATATTTTATTATTGGTAGTTTAGATTAGTAACTGAGTTTGCTAGTGGCTGTATTCTCAAAGGGGTTGAAGTATTGTAAAATTATTGTCCTCCTGAGAGGGTAAGTAAGTCCCAATACATTCAAAGTAAATTTAAACCTACTACTATACTGAGTCAAAAAAGAAACTTCACATTCTTTCATCAGGGCACTATAAAAGAACAAGAGATGGTAAGATGGTTAAATTGGTATTATTTCATTGCTGAGATCTGTGTGATGTACTCGATACACTGACAGTGCCATAATCAGTTCCATTAGGCTACACCGCCGTTCCAAAACATGGGTATACAGAATGTCAAGTCACAAGAATAAAAATGCGAAATTTCTCAGTTCAGTATCGTGTATGGCCGCCCCGCGCATTCACCACTGCCAAACACCGTCTCCTCATCGACTGCCTGATGCTTGTGAACACGTGGTTGGGGATTCTGCGCCATTGCTCTTGCAATTATTAACATTATTGACAAAGTTCACTATTTGTTACGAGGGAGGACTGCAAAGAGAGGAACAGCCAGGTGTACGCGTGCACAAGTGCCGACAAAGTTATTGAATCATTTACCTGTGCTGTGCTGTCTCCACCCTTTCTCGCACAAGAATAGGTTTTCTCTCGAGAATAGCTCCAGTGCTTCGTCCACTAAATCGTGGCCATTTCGGCATTGGTCCTGTGCGCGTACAAAGAGACCTCTATGTGAGTACAACCTCCAGCCTGGACATCTGGATGGAGAAAGTGAGTGAGTTGGGTTTTACGCCGCACTCATCAATATCCCAGCTATATGGCAGCGTTCTGTAAATAATCAAGTCTGGATCAGACAATCCAGTGATCTGCGCAATTGGGAACTGATGACATGTGTCAACCAAGCCAGGGAGCCTGACCACCTGATCCCGTTAGTCGCCTCTTACGACAAGAATGGGTTACTGAAGGTTCGACCGCCTCCGTGGTGTAGTGGTTAGAGCGTCCGCCCGGAGAGCGGAAGGTCGCGGGTTCGATCCCCGAACGCGTCATACCAAAAGACGTTAAAATATGGAACTTGTTGGTCCCTGCCTGGCGCTCGGCATTAGTGGTTACAACATGGACTGGTCGGCTCGGAGTCAGTATAATGTGTCTGAGTGGGGTATTCATGCTTCACTGCAGCATGGTATCTCAGTGGGCTAGCACTATCAAACCAGCTTCAGTCTGGCTAGTACAAGCAGCCGCACATACACACGCATGCACGTCGTCATATGAGCGAAATATTCTCAAGCACGACGTAAAACCCAATTTCACCTCACCTCACTGAAGGTTCATTTTAGCCCGGACCATCACGGTTTCAAGTCTAATTGTATACATTTCAGCCGTAAATATGTACCTCATAAAGACACAGAACTATTTTTAAATGGCACTCCCATTAAAGTTGTCAAAGAGGCCAGGTTTTCGGGTCTGATTTTCGACGCCCATTTAACTTAACCTCAGCATATCAAATACCTAATAATTAAGTGCCTGAGGGCACTTGACTTGTTGAAAGTCGTTTCTAATTCAAAGTGGGGAGGGGATCAAACTACCCACCTACACTTATACAGATCATTCATCCGTTTGAAACTAGATTACGGCTACATCGTATATGGTGGAGCCTGTAAAAGCATCTGTCCACCACCAAGTTCTAAGGCTATGTCTTGAGTTAGAAGTTAGAAAATATATCTCCTACCTGCATTCTTTCTTCTCCTCCTTGGCAATTCGTGAGGCCACAAACACTGGCACCGTTTAAAAAATCAGAAACTAATGAAGTACAATATAAACAAGAATTTAATAAATTAAAAAGTAAACTATTAAATAAGACCTAAGAAATAAGGTCGCGAGCTTTCTCCAATAACACATCCTGAATGACTGATACACTAATACAGTGGAATTGTAGAGGACTTGGGAAGAATTATAATCAGATTCTTTTGTTGATACAGGACTTTAAACCGTCAACATTGTGTCTCCAGGAGACATATCTGAAACAAACTGATGTTTTTAACTTACGACAATACAGTTGTTACCATTCATTTTTTCCCCAGGGGGACAAAACGACTGGAGGATCTGGTATCCTGGTCAGACAGGACATGATTCATAGCGCCGTTCAGCAGAGATATCAGAAACAACAGGAAAAGTCAAGAATTAGTTTTGATTCAAATAACGGTGAAGACTATAATGAAGTTTTTCATTACATGAGCTTCATACAGCTCTTGAGCAAGCTCATGATACTGCAGCGGGTGATGACACTATTCATTATCAGCTGTTGAAACACTTGCCTGAATCATGTCTAGAGACACTTTTAGATATATTTGACAAAATATGGACGTCTGGACATTTTCTTCCTTCGTGGCGTAATGCAATTATAGTGCCCATACCAAAACCTGGCTGGGATCTCACAGATCCATCAAGTTACAGACCGATTTCTTTAACCAGCTGCGTCTGTAAAACCATGGAACGAATGGTAAATAACAGATTAATTTGGTATCTGGAAACCAATAACCTCATTACAAATATTCAATGTGGTTTTCGGAAGAATAGAAGTGCTATTGATCATTTAGTACGGTTAGAATCCTTTGTAAAAAATGCTATTATAACCAAACAACACGCAGTATCAATATTCTTTGATCTTGAGAAAGCATATGTTACTACTTGGAAGCATGGAATTTTAAAGGATATGCATGATTTTGGTTTGCGAGGTCGTTTGCCTCTTTTTATATCGCAGTTTTTAACTGACAGGCAATTTCAAGTCCGAGTGGGTTCAACCCTGTCTGACCATTACAATCAAGATCAGGGTGTCCCACAAAGCAATATATTGTCTGTCACGCTATTTAGGATTAAAATAAATAGTCTTTCAAAGGTTTTAAATGATTCAATCGATGGATCCCTTTTCGTGGATGATTTTAATATTTCTTGTCGTGGTAAAAATATGCGAACTATTGGGAGACAATTACAACTTTGTCTCAACAAAAGTCATAGATGGTGTCTGGAAAACTGCTTTAAATTTTCGAAATCCAAAACCAACTGTATATATTTTTGTAGGAAATACAAACTCCATAAAGATCCTGAATTATCATTAAATGGCACACCCATCAAAGTTGTCAAGGAAGCTAAATTCCTTGGTCTCATCTTTGACTCGCATTTAACCTTTCTGCCACATATCAAACATCTAAAAGCCAAATGCCTGTAGGCACTCGACTTGTTGAAAGTCGTTTCCAGTTCAAAGTGGGGAGGGGACCAAACCACCCTCCTTCATTTGTATAGATCACTGGTCTATCGTATATGGTGGGGCCTGTAAAACCAACCTCAAACTACTTGTTTCTATCCATCACCAGGGTCTAAGACTTTGTCTTGGGTCGTTCAGAACCTCTCCCATTGACAGTCTCTACATTGAGGCCGATGGGCCATCTTTAAAACTTCGCCGTATCAAATTGTCTTTACAATATATCACGAAGTTACATTCAAATGAATCCAATCCTGCTCACAACTGCGTTTTTCATCCTCTTTATGAGGATTTGTACAATAAAAAAACTTCACTTGTTCCACCTCTTGGGATAAGAACCCAACAATATATTTCTGCTGCTAGCATTGAGTTGGAGAATATATCTCCTTCCCGTCTTCTTTCTTCTCCTCCTTGCCAATTGGTTAGGCAATATAAACAAGAATATAATCAATTAAAAGGTAAATATAATACATATAAATGCTTATTTACAGATGGGTCCAAGGATGGTGGCGCGGTGGCTTGTCATTGGATCCAGAACAATATCTTCTCGTTTACCGCATAACAGTCCTATTTTTACAGCTGAAGCAAACGCCATATTAACAGCCTTATTAACAGATATATTAAAAAACACCCTAAATACGAACAATATATAATATCTTCAGACTCTCTTTCTTGACTTCAGGCTATTAAAAATCTTTCGTTTAATAGAAATTATTGAATTATATAATGATCTTGCTACTGGCCAATGTGACATCGTCTTTTGTTGGTTGCCTAGTCATGTTGGAATCTCTGGTAACACAATGGCTAATTTTTCTGCTAAGGCAGCACTGTGACACCACTGCTTATCCTATACTCTGATTACAAATCTAGCATTAGAACCTTCATCTATGATCTGATGCAGAAGAAGTGGGACAACCAAGTAGGTATCAATAAATTACATGAAATAAAACCCTATATTGGTTACACCTACTAGGGTTGTCAGTCCAGATTTGAAGAGGTCATCATGTGACGATGTCGCATTGGCCACACAATATATACACATGAATATTTGTTAAAAGGCGAAGATCCTCCATTTTGCATCCCTTGTGATGAGAGAATCACGGTCAAGCATGTCCTGCTTGACTGTATTGATTTTTCCATCACAAGGGATAAGTATTTCAATGTCAAAACATTGAAAGATCTTTTTTACAATGTCAATAATCATTTAATACTTGAATTTTAAAGGAAATAGAATTATTAGATAAATTTTGAATAACATGTTTTGTAAATAGAGAAATGGTATTTTAAACATGGTAGTATGAATTTGCAACTGCGATTGTTAGTGTCTGTACCCTCAAAGGGGGTTAAAGTATCGTAAAATTATTGTCCCCCTGAGAGGGTACGTAAGTTCCAAAACTTTCAAAGTTAAATTTAAGCTTACCAGATTTTTAATCGTAGTATATTTGTTCCTTTAAAATTCAGCTAAACTTTCCTACAATCGCCAGCGGCTGAAGGGATGGTGTAAATCCAGCTAGGGCCCATGCAAGTAGCAAAGGTACTGTAAGTCCCCATGGTCCCTGGTATGGTGATCTACCTTCAGTTGTTGGCGATCTATAGCCTATATCTATATTGTGTTGTCCCCTATAGTTAGAAATGTTTTAGATTTAATTACTAGTTTTACATGTATATCTGAGATATTCTAGTTGTTTTACTGTCTTTCGATGATAGGTTTTTACGTTATTCATTTACTGATTTTCCTATTGATATCAACTGTTCTCCTCACGATATGGCTGCAATATTGCCGATGTGACGTTAAATTTAAAATCACTCACTCACTGTCCTTCGTTGACAGGTTTTCATAATTTAGCTTCAATTATTCTTCAACTATAATTTAATTTGGTCACCATATGACTGAAATATTGCCAAAGTGACTTTAAATTTTAACTCACTCACTCACTCACTCCATACTCTGATTACAAAGCTATCATTAGACCGTACATTTGTGATCTGATGCAAAAAGTGGAACACCCAGGTAGGTATCGATAAACTACATGAAATTAAACCAACCATCGGTTACACCTACGTTGGTTGTCAGTCCAGATTTGAGGAGGTCATTATTACGAATACTTATGAAAAGATGAGGATCCTCCGTTTTGTATCCCTTGTGATGTAGGAAACACAGTGAAGTATGTCGTGCTTGACTGGTTTGATTTTTTCATCACAAGGGATAAATATTTCAATGTCAAAACATTGAAGGATCTTTTTATAGTGTTAATTGTCATTCTATTATTGATTTTTTAAAGGAAATAGAGTTATTGGATGAATTTTGATTAAAATGGTGGAAATGGATAAATATTTTATAATTAGTAGTTTAAACTAACAACTGAGATTGTTAGTGGCTGTATCCTCAAAGGGGTTAAAGCATTGTAAAATAACTGTCTTCCTGAAAGGGTACGTAAGTCTCAAAACATTCAAAGTTAATTTAAATCTATTGCTATTTTTTAATCGTAGTGTTTATGTTATTTTTATTTATGGTTAGATTATCTCAAATTCCTAACAGGTGAAGCGATGGTGCAGCCAGGGTCGATGCAGGAAGCAAATGTACTTAAGTCCCCATGGTCCATATGGTCCCTAATATCTACCTTCAGTTGTCGGCAATATAGAACCTGTTATTATATTGTATTGTCTTCTAGAATTAAAATATTTTAGATTTACATACTAGTTTTATAGTCATATCTGTGATATTCTGGTTGTTATTACTGTCCTTCGATGACAGGCATTTTATAATTTACATGTGTTTATGGTAAATTTAAAACTTGTTTCAGTCGCGATATGGCTGAAATACTGAAGATGTGACTGTAAATCTTAACTCACTCACTCAGTGTTCATGGTTCCACAACGTGACTTCCGTGTTATTCACAGTCTCCAGTCCCATGTGACATATGTCCACAAGCTACATTGTACAGTACCAATCGATGTCATCTCCATTACAACTTTGCTGTGCCATTCCCCAGTGAACATAAACAATTTGATGAGTAGTTACCTGATGTCGGATAAAATGATTTAATTCCAAGGGCATTCTTGTATCAGATCAGTCTTATATCTGATATGTTGTAACATATTTCGGTTAAAACGTACATAGAGTATGTTCTTAGCTGGTATTATATATGCTTACAATCATTGTGTCCCTAGTATGGTGATCAGCCTTCAGTTGCTGGTGATCTATAGCCCGTTTTTTTGTTGTATTGTTGTCTATAGTGACATCTTTTTATGATAACGTACTAGTTTTAAATTCAGAGCTGTGATACTTTAGTAGTTTTACTGTCCTTTGATGACAGATTTTTATGTTATAAATTTATTGATTTTAATGTTGATATAAATTGTTCTCGTCACGATAGGGCTGAAATATAGCCGATGTGACGTTAAATATTAACTCACTCACTCACTTATAATCACTGTTACACAATAATTCACTTCAAAATGTAAATAACTGTTTTCGACTTAATCTTTGACAGATATTCACCATCGTGCAAATCCGGTGGTGTATTTGTAGTAGTTGACAACGTAATAGGATGTCTAATCAATATGTATTTACTACCCGGTTGTGGGGTTGTGTTTACAATTCAATCACCGCCGATTGATTCACATTTGGAACACATTAACGCATAAAAAGTTTGTCATTGATTTTTGTGGTAGCAGAACGCTCACATGTTCCACCATTAGCGACGAGGTGTTTACGATTCAGAAACGCTGGGGATCATTACTGTTTGAAAGTCACTTATAAACACCTGCTCGTCATATTCAAGAGTGGATCAGACAAATTATATGGCCGATAGTTCAACCAACCATCCACATTCGTTCATCTTCGAAGACGCACAATCACCCATATTACCATATCAATCAGCCAAGTGATATCGTTGTACACAGAACCCTTAAATGTATTATTGTGTGTGCCCTTCAGTGACGATTATCTTGGAAACTGGTCTTGGTGTCATCCTTAACATAAGAAAATGCAACGAGAAGTGGTGCATAACATCCTCCTTATTTACATGGCATTTCTTCGTATCCACAATCTGCGGAATATAATGCATTTAGTTGGTAGCCCGGTCATAAGCGGCAGATTTTGGACAACCTTTGTCTGAATGAATATTTAATTCTAAGGGTGATTGCAATGATTCACTATAGATCCCTGAGGTACTGTACATTGGCTGTCGGCCATGCTGAACGAGCTGTGCAACTTTGTCTTTTCTCTTGGTTTCTATTCTATGCATTTATGAACCAATGCGTATCAGATGACCTTGGATATATACTCAAACAAAATTAGAAACTTGATAATGAAGTTATTGTTGATTATTATGAGGAGGTTTGTGATTTGTAGTTTGTTGTTGTCCCATATGCACGGCAATGACATAAGGACTGTCTTGACAACCGACGGGAAAGATGTGGTCATGAAGCCTGATAAACGACAATCACGTGCATCGTGTCACGCGATCACCTCAGCCACTCATTGGAAGACCAGTACAGCTTGTTCGGCTTGACCTGATCAAGTGAATACTAATGCATTGCGTGACTATGTGGCCTTGTGGTTAAAGTGCTCGCTCGTCACGCTGAAGATTCGTGTTCGATTCCCACATGGGCAAATGTATTAAGCTCATTTCTGTTGTCCCCCGCCGTGATGTTGCTGGAATATTGCTAAAAGCGGCGAAAAACCAAACTCACTCACTCACTCTCTCACTCACTATTGCAACCGTCCTAGGGGTCACACTCGTCGTGTACTTCATCTCTTCAAACAGTCATATCAGAGTGAAGTTCGCCGAGGGGGTTGCATTTTTTTTTCAATACAATGATGCCATAATCAACTTTTTGTCGTTTGCGCGGATGATAGCATCTATTTTCGCCATTTTAATGCTGGTTTGTGTACATGAAATAATTACACAGCGCAAACACGCATCTTCGGAAACATAAATACATGTTAACGTTCGAAAGTGTCAACTTGCATGAAAATGTCATGGAGAAAAAGTGATTCAAAATATGCATAAAACTAGCGTTTTGCATCTTCAGGGCAATTTAACTGCTATTCAGCACAGATACGAAATCATGGTACTGGTCACTAATCGCCAGAGGGCGTTGTTTCAGCAAAATAATGCCAGGCCTCACACAGTACATGCCACTATTCAGTATCTTCAGAATGAGAACATTACAGTACTTCATAGGGGGGTGCAGGGGTGAAACTCGGATGAAAATGACATGTGCACCCACCCTTTTCTCAATAGTATGCAAACACACACACAGATATTGAAGAGAGCGCCCAGTTGGGAACGGACGCCTTCACTTCAACTTTTTCATAAGCTATATATGTTAACAGACATTTAATCTTTTATACTGTGAAATTTGGTTGCAGCTGATGTGTTATCTTACTTTTAAATTAGCAGATTTAATGCTTGAAAATACCCCTATGCGTTTCTTTCTTGAGGGAATATCTGTAAGTATAAGTCTACCTGTACAGAGTAAAACTTGTATCTACTGACTCTGTGTTTTCAGTTCAGTTCAGTCTACTCCATCACACATTACCTACGCTGCGGCAGTTACTCGCTCTGTGGCAGTGTCCTCTACTGCGTGTCAGACTGACTTGACCGGGTCAAGTCAGAGAAACCTAGTTCGTCAGCTTCAACCATTAAACCTACAGCCACAGTCACTCAATCTACGTCTGGTTCTCAGACTGATGAAACTGAATCCGAGACATCATCGCAAACGTCTGTTTTGCAACCAGCCGTGTTGATGTAAATCCAGCTAGAGCCCATGCAGGAAGCAAATGTACTGTTAGTCCCCTTGGTCCTTAGTATGGTGATCTACTTTCAGTTGTTGGCAGTATATAGCCTGTTTTTATATTGTATTGTCATCTATAGTTACACTGTTTTAGATCTAATTACTAGTTTTAAATTCGAATCTGTGATAATCTAGTTATTTTACTGTCCTTCGTTGACAGGTTTTTACAATTTACCATTAATTACTATTTATAAAGTTAATTGTTCTCGTCACGATATGACTGAAATATTGCCAATGTGACGATAAATGTTAACTCACTCACTCACTCTTCATCTTTGTGTACCTGTGAAGGCCCGGGTTAGAATATTGCTCTTTAGTAACCCATGCTTGTCGTAAGAGGCGACTACGGGATCGGATGGTTAGGCTCGCTGACTTGGTTGACATATGTCATCACCGGTTCTCAATTACGCAGGTCGATGCTCATGCTGCTGATCACTGGATTGTCTGGTCAAAACTCGATTATTTACAGACCGCCGCCATATAGCTGGAATATTGCTGAGCGCGGCGTAAAACTAAACTCACTCATTCTTTGTGGGTACCCCTTATTTATTTCTGAACATGTCAGAGTAATACTTTACTGGTTCCCACTTTTGCATGCATCAAACCGGTTACTGAATTTTTCATATTACACTTCTCTAATTTACTAGTCGTATCATGTAAAACAATTGCTACAAAGGTGGATTTGTCTGGATGCCTTGATAGATTTACCTGGAAACGTTTTGTAATGTCATCAAGCAACGATAAATGGATACATCTGTCCAAATTCTCCAAGCCATTTATTATCCATGAGTAAATTGTGGTTGCATGCAAAAAAGGATCTTGTCCACTTTTATGTTTGAATTACATTTAGACCAACTGTATCATATATCCGATTAGTTTAACTCAAGGTGCATTTTGTAATGTCTTTAAGGAACCGTTAAAAGAGATATGTGTTCAAAATGTTGTCAAACAATGTATCATCCATGACTAAACTGTGGTTGTTTGGGGAAGAAATCAAGCAGACGTTTATGTACGTATTTTATTTCATCAACTGCATCATACAGACAGGATGCAGATCAACATGTTACGTGAAAAATGAAACAGGTTACAAAATAGTTAAATGAAAGAATTTGAAATTATTGAAAAAGGAAACATAGTTTTAATTTTCAAAACGATTACCATTTCTTACCTTAAAGTCCAAGGTAGAAATTTTAGAGTATAATTAAAATATCGGCCAATCTCAGAACACCGTTAGTGCGACAAAGAACGAGAATGTGTATATAACCAAAATAAAAAGAAACACTCTCAGACAAAAATATTCCAGTGCATCAGCAACATCCTTCCAGTCAAGCGAGCTCTCTTTGAAGGTCATGTCAAAGGGATAAATCTTCCTGCAAGATACCTTAAGAGCTAAGGAAACAAGCTTCTGTAAACACCTTGGAATCTCTTCTTCATTCGGTTTCGGTTTGTTGTGAAAGACCAGAACAACAATGGTCAACATGACGTTGATGGCACTAGAAGCTGTCACCGTCGTTAGATACACCGTCAACATAGCCATCCCTGTCGACGTCTTCGGGATGAGTTCACTTGCAAACGTCATGAAGACGACTAGAGACAAAAGCACTGTGACGGCAAAGGAGAGCTTTTCACCAGATTCAACAGGGACAGCAAAGACGGCCATGTTGAGAATAGACAGGATGACGATGGGGATGAGGACGTTGAGGACGTAGAACAACGATCGACGCTGAAATCTGAGGGTAATAAGCCACTTGTCCACATTACCAGTCCTGATTGATGATAAACTGGTGTCCAGTAATTCCCACTGGTCGCTTCTTTGAAATCGATCAACATGGACGTTATCACTTCCAGTCACAAATTCCACTTCTTTGACCTTGTAATGCACGGCCATAAGGTATATGGAACATTCCTGTACGTCAAAGGGGAAAGTGCGGACATTGAGTGGACAAGACGTCTTCAGGATGGCGGACGGTAACCACAGCACGGTGCCGTTACTGAAAACTGTCATGCGCTGAGTATCTCCCTTGAAAATGTCTCGCTTTTCCAGTGTGTTGGTGACCGTAATGCTCGGAAACCATGCCTTATAGCCATTGTTGAACGTGAAATATTTGATCCCACCAAAGTCCTCAGGATCCCAGACCAAGAACTCATCCTTCCAGTCTATAGTGAACAGAGCATTACATATGAACTGTTGTTTCACATCGTCAAAGTCTGTTATATCTAACAGGTTAACAATGGCGGACACCTTGACTGTTTCGCTCTGGTTGTTCAGTGGCCTATGCTCAGGTGTGTAGTTTGAAAACAGGTAACTTTGTAAACGTCTCGCATCGTGAATGGATGCCCCGTTAGAGACACTCAGTGTCAGCATCAGCACCAGACAAACCCACCACATCCTCCATCAAAATACAGCGATGCTTGCCAATCCTTAGCTTGAGACTCCACACACACCAAGACAGTCCAATGACGTCAGCAAATACCCACACGGGTCAAATGCAAACGTTTCTGAAAGTGTTTCTTTTTCCCACTATGTGACTTCCGAGTTATTCACAGTCTCCAGTCCCATGGGACATATGTCCACAAGCTACATTGTTCAGAACCAATCGATATCATCTCCATTTCATCTTTGTTATGCCATTAACGTTTGATGAGTGGTAAGTCACTACTGTGACTACCTGATGTCGCTTAAAATATGAGTATGCATTGATACCAGAAGCACCATTTGCAAACCAAACCAATGATCTATTCAAGTTAAAACGTACAGAAGGTATGTTATTTTTTGTCAGCTCAATTGGTCTAATGGTGTATTTGTAGTATCTGAGGACATAATTGGATGTATTTAGATTCTACCCATTGGTGGGGTTGTGTTCACAATTCAGTCATCGCAGATTGATTCGCGGTTTGGAACACATTAACGTTTTAAAACATTGTCATTGATCTTTTAGATGGCAAACATCATTACTAGATGTTACTGTTTCACTGATGCGAGAGCGGAAGGCTCACAGGTTACCCCATTGGCGAGTGTTTACGATTCGGGAACGTAGGTTGCCATCACTGTTAGTTAGTGATTTTGAACACCCGCTTGTGATACTCAAGTTTGTTTCAGACAAATCATAGGGCTAATGGTGCAACTTATGATTTACACTCGTCCATATTCGAAGACACACAATCACCTATATCAAACAGCCAAGTGATTATTCAAAACAACACCGTGATATCGCTGTACACAGAACCTTGAAATGTATCCTGTAAGCATGTTAAGGACAATTGTATGAAAACTGATATTGGTGTAATACTTAACATAAGAAAATACGCCTTAGACGTATTCTCGTTATTTACATGCCATCAGCAATCTCCAAAATATAATACATTAAGTCGGTGACTGTGTCATGGCAAGCGATTTCGTTCATTTGCAAGAATGAATATTTGATGCCAAGGGCAGTTTACAATAACTAACTACTAATCCCCGCTGTATTGTACCATCACTGTCGGCCATGCTAAACAAAATGTGCAACTTTGTCTTTTCTCTTGATTTTTATTCTATGTATTTATGAACTAATGCGTGTCAGATGACCTTGGATATATGATCAACAAAATTAGAAACTTGACTGACACATTACTGCCAATATGTGTGTGTGGGAGGTAATTCTTTTTTAGTTTCTTGTTGTGCCATACGCCCATCAATTATATGTGGGCTGTTTGAACATGGTCTTGGCGGCAGACGTGAAAAATCTGGTCATAAAGCGTGCATTTACGTGCATCGAGCCATGTCCCAATTCACAACTTAGCAACGTCAGCGTAAGCTCAATGCTGGATAATTTACTCCAGCAGTTGCACGAGCCCTCAGCTGTAGTAATCACACAACAGAACAGGCGGATTTCGGGGTCGGGAATCAAATCCGAGTCTTCGGCGTGACGAGCGACCGCTTTAACCACTAGGCTACACTACCGCCGTTGGAAGAGAGAACTTGGGCAAGCACTCGTCGACCAATGGCGATGTCTTGCGGTAAGAGTGCTTCCGACAAGTTCTTCAGACCATGAGTAGACCGTCCAAGAGGTCACACTCGTCGTTTACTCCCTCATTGGTACACATGTGAAGTTTGTGGGGGGTGCCTTTGAACGTCATACATTATTTGTTTCAATAAAATGACGCCGCCATCCACGTTTCATCGTCTGTATTGTTGCCTGGAAGATAGTATCTATTTTAATAATAATGCACACACTACGTCCATTGTGGGATTCAGTTTAACAGCTGTCAGGTGGGTGAGTATAAAGCAGTGTATAAAATATAGTTTGAACTTCGTGTTGAACTTCGTTTTCTTTCTCGTTTTCTTTTCAACATCTGTTGATTTTTTTCATTGTTTTAGTTTTTGGGACTGGCTGTGTTTGTTCAGGACGGGTCTATTTTTTGGACAGCCAATCCTTGGACAGACCACATTTCAAAACTATTTTATACACTGATATAAGCGATGGACCTGAGATTAAAGAGAAGAAAGTTCCATCCTCAACTAGCTGGTGTCTAGCTAGGTGCGCCGTGGCACAACGACCAACACCTACACTACTACCACAATGCCGTGACCTGTCACATGGTGCTCCCAGTAAATATGTAGGTATAACTCTATCTGGACAGAGTAAAACTGTTATCTACTGATTCCATGTTGAGAGATCTTACAGAGCCTTGTACACTAAACTATTGCACATGGGCGGATCCAGGAATTTTGAATGGATGGGGTTCAGGGGGGTTCGAACCCCCTGAACCCCCCATTGGCTCCACCACTGTTATATATGAGAGTATGCGAACAATCATTAAAAATGTTGTAATTTTTTTCTTTGTGTCATGTCTAAGTAAACTTAGGGTCAGTATTATTTGTTACATTGCTATACTGAGTCTAACAAAACCTTGTGGAAGGTGCGTGAGGTAACCTTTTCAATTGACCAATCAGAACACAGCTTACCAAATCGCGAAAGTTGACATTCGCACATACCTTTTGAACTTTTACCTCGAAAAAGTTTTGTACCCGAACGATTCCGAATGCTATTTTCCGTACGATCGCTTCCGAGTGATGCACATGGAGCACACCACAAACGTGAGTAAACAGTCGCTGAAAATGGCATTTTGTCAGTATTCAAGGATGTCAGCTTGCGGAAATATTAGCTTATTATAACCATGTCAACAGAAACCCAAAAAGAGCATATTCCGCAGGTCATATATCTGTGTTTTATGCGGGTTTTCATTTGTTGTGAGATCAGTGTTGGCGACCGCGGAAGAGTCACTCTTCTACCCAGAGTTCCATGCGGCAAGCTGAGAAAATATCCAAACACATGTAACACTATTTCGATTTGCGTAGCGATTCTTTGTTTACATAGGTTGTACGGCTTCACGTGCTGTCATCGAAGCTGATGGAGAGCAAACGATGCAGCCAGTTTGATATCTAAATATGTACTGTCATAAACCTTACTGTCGTAGTTGTAGAAAAATATATATGTAACAATGTAAAACATAATGAAGAGAGCGCCGTAAAGCTTTCGTGAGTCCATTCTCTTCTTATTAATAATATGCGCGTTTGATTACAAACAAGAGAAAAGTCCGGTCACGTGATATGCAAATTAGCCTTTGGCAGTGATGTTATGTTAAGTCATCGCTGTGCCGGAGTGTGGGGAAGAGTAAATCCATTTTGAAAGTCCCGCCGAACCCTAAATAGTAGCCGTTGTCTGATTGGTTAAATCCGTTCCGTCGTCTCTCGTTTGATTGGATGGTCATAGGTCGCTCAAAGGTTTCCTGACGCGACCTTCCATAAGGTTTTGTTAGACTCAGTACAGCAGTGTAACGAATAATACTGAGCCTAAGTTTACTTAAACTGTCTTTGGGTCCAACAAATGCCATGTACTCCCGTTACTTTTTTATGATCATGGTCGGTACCCGTTATTCATTTCTGAACACGTCAGAGTAATACATTACTGGTTCCAACTTTTCCATGCATGAAAGTCCTTGTTTTGATACAAATGCTAAGACTATTACAGTGTCCGAAAGTTGCCTAACGATGTATCATCAATGATTAAATTGTTTGCGGAAGAAATCAAGCAGACTTTTTTGTACAATTTTATTTCGACCAGCCGCATCATAAACACTGTATACAGATCATCATGTTACGTGAAATATTGAATGAGTGCCTGAGTTAAAATTTAACGTCACATCGGCAATATTTTAGCCATATCGTGACGAGAACAATTAATTTTATGCATAGTAATTAATGGTAAATTGTAAAAAATACTGTCAACGAAGGACAGTAAAATAAGTAGATTATCACAGATTCGAATTTAAAACAAGTAATTAGATCTAAAACAGTTTAACTATAGATGACAATACAATATAAAAACAGGCTATATATTGCCAACAACTGCGTGAAATATTGAAACAGCTTGTTACAAAAGAGTAAAATGAAAGATTCTGTAATTATTGAAAAAGGAAAAATAGTTATAATGTCCAAGACCATTACCATTTCTTACCTGAATGTCAAAGGTAGAATGTTTAGAGTTTAGTTAAAATATCTGCCAATCTCAGAACACCGTTAGTCCGACGAAGAACATGGTTGTGTATATGATCAAAATAACCAGAAGCACTCTCAGACAGAAATATTCCAGTGCATCCGCAACATCCTTCCAGCCCACCGACCTGTCAATGGTCGTGGGGTCCAAGGGATAAATCTTCCTGCAAGATACCTTACGAGCTAAGGAAACAAGTTTCTGTAAACACCTTGGAATCTCTTCTTTATTCGGTTTGTTGTGAAGGATGAGAACAACAATGATCAACATGACGTTGACGGCACTAGAAGCTGTCACCGTCGTTAGATACCCCGTCAACATGGATATCCCTGTCGACGTCTTCGGGATGAGTTCACTTACAAACGTCATGAAGACGATCAGTGACAAAAGCACTGTGACGGCAAAGGAGAGCTTTTCACCAGATTCAACAGGGACAGCAAAGACGGCCATGTTGAGAATGGACAGGATGACGATGGGGATAAGGACGTTGAGGACGTAGAACAACGGTCGACGCTGAAATCTGAGGGTAATACGCCACTTGTCCACATCACCAGTCCTGATTGATGATAAACTGGTGTCCAGTAAATCCCACTGGTCGCTTCTTTGAAATCGATCAACGTGGACTTTATCACTTCCAGTCACAAATTCCACTTCTTTGGCCGTGTAATGCACGGCCATAAGGTATATGGAACATTCCTGGACGTCAAAGGGGAAAGTGCGGACATTGAGTGGACAAGACGTCTTCAAGATGGCGGACGGAAACCACAGCACGGTCCCGTTGCTGAAAACTGTCATGCGCTGAGTATCTTCCTTGAAAACGTCTCGCTTTTCCAGTGTGTTGGTCACCGTTAGGCTCGGAAACCATGCCTTGTAGCCATTGTTGAACGTGAAATATTTGATCCCACCAAAGTCCTCAGGATCCCAGACCAAGAACTCATCCTTCCAGTCTATAATGAACAGAGCATTACATATGAACTGTTGTTTCACATCGTCAAAGTCAATTATGTCTAACAGGTTAACACTGGCTGACACCTTGACTGTTTCGCTCTGGTTGTTCAGTGGCCTGTGCTCAGATGTGTAGTTTGAGAACAGGTAACTTTGTAAACGTCTCGCATCGTGAATGGATGCCCCGTTACATACACTCAGTGTCAGTGTCAGACAAACCCACCACATCCTCCATCAAATAACCGCAATGGTTGCCTCACGTAATCTGATGTAAGCCAGTCTCTATACCGAGACTCTTCACACGCCCATGTAATGCTTGAGCAGTCGACGTGACCTGTATCTCTCCGCAATGAGGTCAGGAACTACCCACACAAGCGAGCGATGGGGCCACTGCGAACGTTATTCATAAATGTTCGTTAAAAGCTGGATCGAGTTACATGTGATATGTGTCTGCTTAGTATACTGCATTCCATGCGGAACCAGTCGATATCGCCGCCATTTCAGTTTTATTATGTCCTGTCCTGAATGTTGGTGAACGTTTGCGTGGTGATATGTAATTACTGTTGTCCTCTGATGGGATGTTCGTGTAATGACGGTGTATTTGCTTCCCGAGGCTTTGTTTGTACATTTAGTCACCGCATATTGATTCACGGCCTGGAACACATTAACGTACTTTCACTGATAAAATATCAGAAAGCTCTACGTTATCCCATTTGTGACAAGGTGTTTACATTTCGCCAACATTACGCAAAAGTTATAAAACTTATTAAGTTTTGGGGTGGCGAACTCCATAGATGATGACTTCCACTGGTTGGCGACGTGGTGTTTATGATTTACAAACGCCGGGTTTCGCCACTTTTCGATAGTGATTAATACTCACCTGCTTGCGACATTCCAGTCTGGATCGGACAAATCATATTACTAATATTGTAATCAACGATCAACCCGACTTCAAAGACACACCATAACCCATGTCAAAAAGGGAGTGATTATGAAAAAAAGAAAAAGATATCGTTGTACACAAAACCCTAAAATATATTCTTGTCACCGTGATATCAGTGTACACAGAACCCTCAAGTATATACTTGTCACCATGATATCGGTGTACACAGAACCCTCAAGTATATACTTGTCACCGTGATATCGGTGTACACAGAACCCTCAAGTATATACTTGTCACCATGATATCGGTGTACACAGAACCCTCAAGTATATACTTGTCACCGTGATATCGGTGTACACAGAACCCTCAAGTATATACTTGTCACCATGATATCTGTGTACCCAAACCCTCAAGTATATACTTGTCACCATGATATCGGTGTACACATAACCCTCAAGTATATACTTGTCACCATGATATCGGTGTACACAGAACCCTCAAGTATATACTTGTCACCATGATATCTGTGTACCAAAACCCTCAAGTATATACTTGTCACCATGATATCGGTGTACACAGAACCCTCAAGTATATACTTGTCACCATGATATCGGTGTACACAGAACCCTCAAGTATATACTTGTCACCATGATATCGGTGTACACAGAACCCTCAAGTATATACTTGTCACCATGATATCTGTGTACCCAAACCCACAAGTATATACTTGTCACCATGATATCTGTGTACCCAAACCCTCAAGTATATACTTGTCACCATGATATGGGTGTACACAGAACCCTCAAGTATATACTTGTCACCATGATATCGGTGTACACATAACCCTCAAGTATATACTTGTCACCATGATATCGGTGTACACAGAACCCTCAAGTATATACTTGTCACCATGATATCGGTGTACACATAACCCTCAAGTATATACTTGTCACCATGATATCGGTGTACACATAACCCTCAAGTATATACTTGTCACCATGATATCGGTGTACACAGAACCCTCAAGTATATACTTGTCACCATGATATCGGTGTACCCAAACCCTCAAGTATATACTTGTCACCATGATATCGGTGTACACAGAACCCTCAAGTATATACTTGTCACCATGATATCGGTGTACACATAACCCTCAAGTATATACTTGTCACCATGATATCGGTGTACACATAACCCTCAAGTATATACTTGTCACCATGATATCGGTGTACACATAACCCTCAAGTATATACTTGTCACCATGATATCGGTGTACACAGAACCCTCAAGTATATACTTGTCACCATGATATCGGTGTACACAGAACCCTCAAGTATATACTTGTCACCATGATATCGGTGTACACAAACCCTCAAGTATATACTTGTCACCATGATATCGGTGTACACAGAACCCTCAAGTATATACTTGTCACCATGATATGGGTATCGAGAACCCTCAAGTACACCATGATATGGTGTACACAGACCCTCAAGTATATACTTGTCACCATGATATTGGTGTACACAGAACCCTCAATTATATACTTGTCACCATGATATCGGTGTACACATAACCCTCAAGTATATACTTGTCACCATGATATCGGTGTACGGAGAACCCTCAAGTATATACTTGTCACCATGATATCGGTGTACACATAACCCTCAACATATACTTGTCACCATGATATCGGTGTACACATAACCCTCAACATATACTTGTCACCATGATATCGGTGTACACATAACCCTCAAGTATATACTTGTCACCATGATATCGGTGTACACATAACCCTCAACATATACTTGTCACCATGATATCGGTGTACACAGAACCCTCAACATATACTTGTCACCATGATATCGGTGTACACAGAACCCTCAACATATACTTGTCACCATGATATCGGTGTACACAGAACCCTCAACATATCCTTGTCACCATGATATCGGTGTACACAGAACCCTCAACATATACTTGTCACCATGATATCGGTGTACATAGAACCCTCAACATATCCTTGTCACCATGATATCGGTGTACACAGAACCCTCAACATATACTTGTCACCATGATATCGGTGTACACATAACCCTCAACATATACTTGTCACCATGATATCGGTGTACACATAACCCTCAACATATACTTGTCACCATGATATCGGTGTACACATAACCCTCAAGTATATACTTGTCACCATGATATCGGTGTACACATAACCCTCAAGTATATACTTGTCACCATGATATCGGTGTACACATAACCCTCAAGTATATACTTGTCACCATGATATCGGTGTACACAGAACCCTCAGCATATACTTGTCACCGTGATATTGTTGTACACTCAACACCATGAACACAATCTGTTTCATTGGGCAATGTAGCCGTGGTGTGTTCTCTCATGGACAAATACTGGTGAGATATGTATTGTGGATATGTCCCGAACAGAGTGAGTGAGTGGGTGAGTTAAAATTTAACGTCACACCGGCAATATTTCAGCCATATTGTGACGAAAAATGTTTTACATAAACAATAAATTTAAGTTACTAAAAATCTGTCATCAAAGAACTTAAAATAACTAGAATATCACAATTACAACTAAAGCTAGTGTGGAAAGTTAAAACTGATAGCACTATTTGGACAACACAATATAAAAACAGGCTATAGATCGCCAACAACTGAAGGTTGATCACCATACTAGGGACCATGGGGACTTACAGTACCTTTGCTACCTGCATGGACCCTTGTTGGATTTACACCATCCCTTCAGTCCTTGGCGATTGCAGGAAAATTTAGCCAAAATTAAAATCACAAAAATACTACGTTTAAAAAATCCCTGTAAATTTAAATTTTCTCTCCGGAGGACAATATTTTTACGCTACGTCAACCCCCTTTGAGGGTACAGCCACTAACAATCTAAGTTACCAATCGAAACTGCCAATCATTAAAATACATCTATTTACAAAACATATTATTAAAAATTCATCTATTAAATTGTCCCGAACAGATCGGATATGTCGCTGTTAGTAACAATGCCGCAACGATGGCAAACATCCTCTGTGAGTTCCGAGAAAGTGAGTGAGTGCATTTAGTTTTACGCTGCACTCAGCAATATTCCAGCTATATGGTGGCGGTCTGTAAATAATCAAGTCTGGACCAGATAATCCAGTGATCAACAACATGAACGTCGATCTACGCAATTGGGATACAATGACATGTGTCAACCCAGCCAGCGAGCCTGGTCCCCGATCCCATTAGTCGCTTCTTACGACAAGCATGGGTTACTGAAGATCAATTCCAACCTGGAACTTCACGGGTCGAGTTCCGAGATAAATAAGTGGTTCGTCTTTGACTGTGGTTTGTGCTTTTTATGTTGCCAGTCAAATGTTATAAATGTCATATATTCTGCGTGTAATATTTTGGGTCTGTTTACAAAAATAATAAAACAATACGTAATTAAAACAATACGAATACATGTTGCCCGAAGATTTATTCTTTTGCCGTAAATACCTGAATGGTCGAACAGACGCAAGTGTTGCTGTTGATGACGCTGGACTCTGGATGCTGGGGTTCAGTTGTAACCCCGAATCAGACTGCAGACTGTATTTGTATGCAAGCTTTTGAACTAGAAAGATTCCCACTGACCATCGATCGCCACATAAACATGATCAAATACTGGGTAAAGCTGGTGAAAACTGAAAACTGCAGCCTTAATAGCGCTGATCCAACAGCGAAGAATGAACCCCTCAGCTGGGCGAAGGAGACAGAACGCATATTGGAATACAACGGTTTCGGGTTCATCTTATAACCTGTACTATTTTCTGAATTCATTCCTCTTTTAAGACAAGTGATCTACCTTCAGTTGTTGGCGACCTATAGCCATTTTTGATATTGTATTGTCCTTATTTGAAATGCAATTTTAAAGGGAGATGCTAGTGTTATGTCTTGATACTGTGATATTCTAGTTGGTTTACTGTCCTTCGATGACAGGTTTTTATGTTCTCAAGTTATCGTTTTTAATAGTGATATGAAATAAATTGTTCTCGTCATGATATGGCTGAGATATTACCGATGTGACGTTAAATATTAACTCACTCACTCACCTTTAAGACAAAGAGTGAGTGAGTGAGTTTAGTTTTACGCCGCTTTTAGCAATATTCCAGCAATATCAGGGCGAGGGACACCAGAAATAGGCTTCACACATTGTACCCATGTGGGGAATCGAACCCGGGTCTTCGGCGTGACGAGCGAACGCTTTAACCACTAGGCTAGCCCGCCGCCCGTTAAGACAAAGACTTCAGGACAATTATATAGCACTATGGCAAAGTCAATTACGGCAATCTGCTGGTACAAGGAATGTACAATGTTACAAAAGTTGAAGATTATCTGATCAAAGTTGGAAATAGTAAGCAAGGAAGAGTCGTAAGTAAACTCCGTCTTTCATCGCACACTCTACACATTGAGATAGGGAGATACGGCAGCAGTCGAGCAGAGCGGACTCGGGGAAGATGCATAACATGTAACAGCGGTGAA